AAAAAGGGAACAGGTTGTTATTGAGGCCTGCCTGCTCTGAAGTTCTCTGATTTCAAAGTTATCAGGGTGATGGTTACGTCTTCCTATTGATAGCTAATGAGGACACGACGTGCCTGGTGATTCGGGGGGCGGGGGGCGGGGGATGCTGCCTGGGAGCTGCGAGCATGTGCCACACGGCTGCACAGACACTACAGACTCCACTGTAAAGTCCCACCTAGCTGGGACCCCATCATCCCAGCAAATCAGCCCAAAATTTTATGAGAAAGAAGCAAATGGCAGGGAAGCAGTGGTTCTCAAACTCTGCAATGTACTGGAACCACTTAGAGAATTTTATAAAACTGTGAAGGAGGGACCCAAGCATCAGTAATTTGTAAATCTCCCCATGTGAGTCTAATGTGCTGTCAAGTTTAAGAATAAGTGGCATCAGGCTGGGCACGGTGGCTCACACCTATAATCCTAGCACTCTGGGAGGCCAAAGTGGGAGGATTGCTTAGGGTCAGGAGTTCGAGATCAGCCTGAGGAAGAGCGAGACCTTGTCTCTACTAAAAATGGAAAAGAAAAAAAAAAAAAATAACCAGGTGTGGTGGTAAGAGCCCGTAGTCCCAGCTACTCGGGAGGCTGAGGCAGGAGGATGGCTTGAGCCTGGGCAAGAGCCCGCCGGGGGATTCGTGCACACACTGAACTTTGAGAAGGACAAGTTGTAACACTGAATATTACACCAGGGTTTAGAAGACAAAGCAGACACTGTTTGTCTACCCAGCATGCATTTTCTCTCTTCCTTCCTCACTTCTTACATAACCCAGTGTTCTCTGAGCAGCTTCATGCTTCAGGGAGGCGACTTCATCCACAGCCCCACCATGGTCCCAGTCCCCTGGCCACATCTGGTTTGGTTCTGGCCAATGAGACCAATAGATGTCCTGCTGGACAGTTTCTGGGAAACGTTGCCCATCCTTAAGCACACCCAAGAAGAATGGCCTCTCCTTCCCTTGGAAGTTTTCATATTGAGATGGGATCTGAGCAAATTCTGTAGGTGTCCTGAGACCTCAGGGGCAGCTAGGCTAGTCCTTGATAACACAGAGCCACTGACTGATAGAATCCTGGGTCCACCTCATTAGAGGATTTCTGATTCTGCAAGATTGGAAATGTGTTTATTGTTTAAGACCATGCGAGACAGGGTTTTCTATTACTTGTAGCCCAGCGTTTCTCAACCTTGACACTATTGACTCTCGGGGCTGGACAATTCTTTGTTATGGGGACTGTCCTGTGTCTTGTGCAGCATCCCCAGTCTCTACCCACTAGACACCAATAGCCTTTCCCACTTTACCAGTTGTGACAACTAAAAATGTCTCCAGACACTGCCAAATGTTCCCAAGGGGGCCAAATCTCCCCCAATTGAGAACTGCTGTTGCAGCCAAAGGCATCCTACAGAATGCAAAGACCTTTTATTCTGATCCCTGGAGGCCTTAGGAGGGTAGAAATCACTCCAGAGGTGTTTCAAAGATCAAAGTGAGATCAGGTGTGTGAGAAAAGCAAACACACACAAGGTGTTGCTAATCATTACCTGTCTTTGATGCCATTAGTGCATTGATAACAGTGTTCTAGTTTCCAGTTACTCTTCCAAGATCTAGCAGGCAAAGCTGTTTAACTTAACAGATGGTCAGCACGGATAGTGGATGGAATTTTCCCTCAGCAAAGTTTATGTGGCTCATGAGACTTCCAGGCTCATGAAATTCTAGACTCTTCCTCGCTCAGAAATTCTAGACTCTTAACCAGTCCAGCCCTGAGCTGGCCACCAATCCCAATTCATTGTCCCACAAAGCCACCAGCTCTGTGGAGTTCCCCTGTTAATGCTGGTTTGTGTACAACACCATGTTGTATTATGGCCTGGAGGAGAATAGGGAGGTGGGGACAAGAGCAGGGACAGGTTCTGTCACAGGGAGACATGGGTGCATTTGATCATTCATGTCATCAAGGGTTTACCATGTGCCAGACATAGTACGAGGCACTGGGGCTAGGCTTGGGTGGGGAGTGAAGGCTATTTGGAGACAGCTGCAGCCCTTGGGGGCCTCACAATCTACTGGGAAATGTATAGTGACCTTTGGGTTTCTCTTCTAACATGTCCCCAGATTAGGGTACGGGGTTGTCCCCCTTCCCCACCCCTGCAGCCCATGAGCTTTGAGGGCAACTGAACTCCCTTGCTGAACCCAGAGGTAGAACACATGTGTCCCACCACTGTTGTTTTAGGGGCTGGAATGTTATAATTTGGACCAGGAAAGTGGGCATCTAGGGAGAGACAGCTCTGTGTTCTTTTGAAGGAGGGGGTGTGGTTTGCAAAAGCAATACCGGCCCCTGCTACAGCCCACTTATTTCCACCAAGGAGTTCAGCTGAGGACAGAGCCGGTACAGAAAGGAAGGCTGAGTTGAGAGAGCTGCCAGGAAATCAAGCTGGAGCCTTGACCAAACCACACCTGATCTACCTCTGGACTTTCTGGTAGCATGTGCTAAATAAAACCTCCTGATTATATAAGCCGATTTAAACTGGATTCTCTGTTACTTGCATCATAAACTGTCCAAACTGAAACAGACTTTGGTACCAGGAAGGGGATGCTACAACGAACAAACCCTAAATGTGGATAGGCTAAGAAGAGATGTTGGGGCAGACAGTAGGAAGGTTGTCTGTATCCAACTAGAATGACAATGATCCTTGTTCGGCAAAACAGCCGTTTACACAGGGATACAGACCTTATGTTTATGGAGACCATGACATTTGGACATCTTCTAGAAAATATTCAGGATGTTGCCTACCTCTGGCAGTCTTCATTAAGGTCCTAGGAGACCCAACTTTAAGGGAAAGGTGGACCATTTGAAGGTGGAGAGGGCTGAAACCCAGCTTTGCTAAATGAGGTCCTTTCTGCCCGTGGCCTGCAATCTACAGTGACGGAAACTGACAAGCAAGCCCTGCCGGGTTGGAGGGGCTGATTTATCTGGCTAAAGTTAGAGCATAGGCAACAAGTGGCTGACTTAGCAAGAGAAAAGACTGGGGCCCTGGCAAAACCTTATCCCCAATTCCCAGGTCTCACCCACGCTTCTTCTTGTCTTGCCAAGCTTGGTAAAGGGGACTGTTGACCTATTGTGAAGATGCAGCTGGATTGAGCTGAGGGGCAGGGAACAAGTGTGGGGTGCCGCCCCACTTCAGAGATGAATGAAGATGCCTCTAATCTGAGGGGCAAGGCAGTGGGCAAGGCACAGAGGCCGGTCACCAGCTCAAGGATTCTGGCCAGAGAAGATCTCCAGCTCTTTTCCACCCATGGACTTGAATAGAAGAGACACATTACATTCAAAAGGGAGTTGCTGAGGAACATGGCCACTCTGGCCCGAGATTGCCCATCCCTCAGGACAATCCCTGAACTCGTACCCACAAGAAGTGGGTTGCTAAAACAGTGACTCTCCTAGGAAGGCATTGACCCTGTGCCCACTCACATGTTAACAAGGCAGAGGACAAGGGAGATACACCCAAACCCAAGAACTGGGGCACCATATTGCCTGCATCAGGCTCCTGCTGATCCCTTTTCTTCCCCACTGCTGTTGCAGGAGGTGGATCACATGTCTCCCATGCTGAGAGCCTTCCTCTTCGAGGAAGCCTTGCTTCACCACAAGGGGAAGGAGTCCTCGATGTGTGCTGTTGACCAATGGCGGTTGAATGTGTTTCCCATTCTCCTATTCTCCAAATGGAGATTCTCTTGCATATATCCTTGGCTGTTTTATTTCCAGCATCGCTGGCTACATGGATGGTGTGAACTTCAGAATCTAGTTCATTGGTTATCAGACCATGAGTAGCTATCTCCAGACATGATGGAGAGTATGCTGCATCTCCCAAAAAACATGACCTTGACTCTGGATCCAGGAACTGGATGAATCACAGGGTTTCTTTGGGGGATGGGGATGAGTCTATTTTAGCCAAGAATGGGTATTTCTAATGATTATGTGAGGGAAGAAGAGTGTATGGATGTGAGTACCCAAAGAGGTGAACCGTAGTGGGACATGAAGGTTATTGCTCTCGCACTCACCTCCCCTTCTCTGGATAGTAATCCTGAATTTGTTCAGGGAAACTATACCTGAACTCACAGCTTGTGTGGTTTAGAGAAAGCTAACTCCACTTCCAGATGGAGGACCAGGGCTTACTGCTGGTAAGCAGTGAGCTCAGGACTGAGCTCACACTGGTGATGCCGTGCAGACTGTGGGGCCTGGATGAGACATCTGCTTGGAACTTCTGAGAGTCCAGTTCTCTCGTTCTTCCTTATTTTGGGGTGGAGTTGTTAGGCCATACAAGTGCTGGATCAGCCATCTCACTGGCATCTCAGCGACCAAGACCAAAGCCAACACAAGGAGGGAAAGCAGGAAGAATCCCCTGAGAAGTGGAGCTGTGAGCCTAACTGCACCAGCTCCATGCTTCCCCTGGGCTTTGGAGCCATAGAATGTCTTCTTTACTATGAATGGAGCCATGTGGAAGAGTTGTCTGTTACTTGCAGCAATCAACGATTATAGAGTGTGATAGACACTAAAATAAAAGTATGACAAAAGTATTGAGTGATTAGGAGAGAAGGTAGGTTAATTAGCTTGGAGAAGCAATTTGTTGCTTTAAGTACTTAGGGTGGGAAACATTGAAAAGGAACCCACTGCAGTCCTTAATATGCTTAATGTTAAGAACTGCAGCGGGTTAAATAATGTTAACTTAGTGTTGACTTAATGTGATGTATTTGACCTGTCTGTGGCCATGATTACACTTGTCTCTGTCCCTCCAGGTGGGAATGGATGCGTCCAGGCCTTCTGTGCAGGGCCGTGCACCCGGCATTTAACAGTCCCTGGGAAATTCTGGGTGCTGGGGATTCTGCCGTCTGTTGCCCTCGTGCCTCGGTGGGCTGAGGGGGGTCCCCAGTGTCCACTCACGCTGTGAGCATCAGGCACCTGCTGATCCCTTTTCTTCCCCGCTGCTATTGCAGGAGGTGGATCACATGTCTCCCAGGCTGAGAGCCTTCCTCTCCGAACCCATCGGAGAAAAGGATGTCTGCTGGGTGGATGGGGTCAGCCATGAGCTTGCGATCAATTTGGTCACCAAAGGTTTCAACAAGGTAATTTGTTTTTTCTTACGTTTCCAACTACTCTTCCCAACCTCTCTTCCCCCAGTCCTGCCAGATGGCAGCTCCTGCCACGTGTCCCTGCGAAGGGCCATCAGAGAGCAAAGCTGCCACTTGGCAGGGTGCCACATGCTTCCGTGCTACTGACCCCACATGCTTGGGCAGCCTCAAGGGCCCGCAAACGATGGGCAAATAAAATCGCCTCGGCTAAGAGCAGCTGGGCTGGGCATGATTTGCTCGGTGTTCAGACACTCAGGGGTCGACAGAAGTGGGCCAGCCACCACAGTCTGGGCACGCTGTCAGGACGGATGATGTGGGCACACTCCCCACCCCCATGAAGGGACACATGGAGTCTTGCTTGCCCACATCTGGGCACCAGCCTGGCAATGGCAGGTGGAGAAACAGCAGCTGGGAGTCTACACTAGAGTGAGGAGATGCGAGTTATTCTACGATGTCATTCCCAAGGAGTGTCCTCAAGGATATCTGCACATTCTTTTCAGATAAGTAAATAACCTATTTTTATGGGGCTGTTTAAAAGCTGCTTAGAACCTCAGGAGAGAATGGGAGACAGTCTCAAAGAGCATCTGCAGGCAGTGGGCTCAGATACAGGAGGCTGGGAGCTCACGCCGAGCACTGCGCACCGGGTCAGGATGCAGACTGACTAGAGCCTTCAGCTTTCCAAGTGGGTCTACACCACCAGGCAGAAACACCCAAAGAGGCTGGCAACTGCTGCACGCATGGCTGGTGATAAGTTTGGTTTGCACCTGAATCTCAACTCCTGGACCTGTGGTTTTCTGACCGACTCGCTGTTCCGCACCAGTTGTTACCTCTTCTGAATGTCACCCCAATTGACCAGCCAATTTAATATCCAATAGGTGGCATTGTCAGGAACTGGAGCCCCATGATTGAGGTAGATGTGATTCTTTCCTCCCAGATAAAGAAGATAGGACTATTCCCTAGGGGACATATTTTACTTTTTTTTTTTTTTTTTTTTTTTTTGAGACAGAGTATCACTCGGTTGCCTGGGCTAGAGTGCTGTGGCATCAGCCTGGCTCATAGCAACCTCAAACTCCTGGGCTCAAGCAATCCTCCTGCCTCAGCCTCCCTAGTAGCTGGGACTACAGGCAAGCGCCACCATGCCCAGCTAGTTTTTTTCTATATATTTTTAGTTGGCCAATTAAGTTCTTTCTATTTTTAGTAGAGGCAGGGTCTCGCTCTTGTTCAGGCTGATTTTGAACTCTTGACCTGGAGCGATCCTCCCACCTCAGTCTCCTAGAGTGCTAGGATTACAGGTGTGAGCCAACATGTCTGGCCAAGGGGAGACATTTTAAATTAAAAATTCTTTTTAAAAATAAATGGTTGTTCCTTTTACTTTTCTATTGTTATGGTGTATATATAGGGGAATGTGCGTTGATACGAAGGGTTCGCCTCAATGAGTTTTACACATGTACATCCATGTACCCATCACCCAGATCCTACCATCGGACACCTCTCACATTCCAGGTGGTTCCCTTGTGCCTCTTCCTGGGCAGTGCCATCCCCCATCCCCAGAGGTAACCACTGAGATTCTGACATCAAACACTATTGATTTAATGTTTCCATAATTGAGGGGGTTTGTTGTTGTTAACTATGCTCATCATTTAAAAAATATTTTTATTAAGGTACAATTTACATACAGTAAATTTCACCTGTTTTAGCACACAGTTGTACAAATTTTGACAAATGCATACAGTCCTATAGCACTACCACAATCAAGACGTAGAATAATCTTATTTCTGCAAAATATTCATTTCCTTGTGTTTCTTAAAATTCACTGTCCTTAGTCCCTGGCAACCACTGATTTATTTTCTGTCCTTGTAGCTTTGCCTTTTCCATCTTAACTCGTGTGTGTGTGTTTTCAGGAGTATAGATGGGAAGATAGGCAGGTTTAAGACAAAAGAATGAATAATGGAAAAATTTCAGGCTTCTGAGAACTTTCGTATATAGAGTCAGGCTGCAGGGATGGTTTGCCCATGTGCAGCCCAGTCCTTGGAGACGTGTCCCTCTTGTGCTCATGACCTTCTGGCCAGGGTAGTGAGTGGCGCTCACTCTAGACCCTTCATATTCCTAGAGCCACCGATTCCTGGCACCGATATTGGTGATGTCTCCGTGATACTTTACTTTGGCCCTCCCCTACCTGGGATTGAGATCAAGGTCTCTATGTCCACTTTACAGATGAGGAGACAGAGGTTCCGAGGAGTTACTGCCTTGATTGAGGTCCGGGGTGAGGATGAGGATGGCCGTGGATTGTACCGTCACAAACTACACAAGCAGATCTGGGGCCGGGTGGCTACACCAGGCAAGGAAGGGTCTTATAATGACATGTGGTGGTGAGACCCTGTATGAGGGTCTGGGGCCTGGCTGGGCCTGTAGGAGGATCCAGGAGGACACCTAGCTGTGGCCCCTAGAAGATGAGCAAGTGCTCTGGGGAGGATGGGTCACGGGCAGGGCCAGCAATCAGAGTGTCTGGGGCAGGCAAATCCCGGCAGGGTCGAGTTCTCGTACTGAGTGGATCAAAATGCAAGTTCTTGTATATCTATGCCTTGCCTGTGGGGGACCCAATCCTGGTAGGGGGACAGGGGAGGGGGACACCTTTTTGGGCCTCACACTATCCTCTGTCTTTGCTGCTTTCTGCTGAGGGGTACCTGGCACCATGCCCTGCCTCAGTCTCTTCTCTATGAGCAAACACCGCGTCACGTCCCACCCTTGCATCGGGACAACTTTCTCAGCCTTATCCCTTGGGCACCGGCTGTCGTGGCTTTTTCTGCACCCTCTCTGGCACCCACTGGGACTGACCTATGCACCACCCTCAGACCTGCTTGCCTGGGCTCCTCTCCCAGCCATCGGCTCTCTCCAGAGACAGCAAGACGCTGGGTGCGCGGGGGAAATGAGGCACCAGCTCCCTGCCCTGGGGCACCCCCTCTGATTTATCCAGGTGACCTATCACCTCTGGGGGGAGGTGCTGAATGAAGGCCAGGAATAAAGCATCTTCTCAAGCTCTCACCAGCCCCTGTATCTAGTACCTTCTCCTCCATTCCTACCCTCGTACAGGTCTTTCATCTTTTCTTGAACAGACGTCATGGGCACTGGGAGCGGACTGCGCTTCCCTCCTTCCCCATTCTCCCCAGAGCTTTGGCCTGCGGCAGACACGAATGGGTCTCCAGCTCCCAGTTTAAGTCATGACTTTCAAAACTATTGATTCTGCTATGAATCCATTCAAGTCTCTTTAAGAGCACAAAAGCCAAAGGCAAGATGGCATTGTCTCTGGGTTAGTTTGTGTCTGCTCTTCCCTGGGGCAATCGGCTTAGGCCTGAGGATCCAGATTCGGCGCTGGCCAGTGGCCACTTGTCTGAACCAAGACGTGCTAGAAATGTGAAAACACACTGAAATGTCAAAGCCTTAGTCCCCTCCCAGGAGTGGAAAGTATCTCATTCCTAATTATTTTATCAATTACATGTTCAAATGATAATATTTTTGAAATATGAGAGAAAATAAAATCTGTTATTAAAATTAATTTCACCTGTTTCCTTTTTCCCTTTTACTGTGGCTACTAGAAAACTTAAAAGTACATATGTGGCTGCCACCCCTTATACTTATACTGGACAGCGCTGGTCTAGATTTAATGGCCAAAAGGCTGCAAGGGGGAAAGGAACTCTGGAAATGGGGAAAGCCACCGTGCCCATGATGTTGAGTCTTGCCATACCAGCTCTAGCTCTGCCTTATGTTCTCTGTCCGTCCCCATGCTGGAGCCAGACTGTCCGCGACCCACACACAGACGGGGGTCCCTCTTCTGCCAACCTGGTCGCCTCCAAAGCCCCACACACAGCCCCCCTCCTTCCTTCTGCCACTCTGCTTTGCTGAGCATTTTGAATTTTCAGCGGGAGCCCTTGCTGTGATGTCTGACAAAAGGTCAACTCTAGTTTTTCCATACAAGGCCCGAGAGAGCCCACACTCCTGGTGTTAGAGTCCCAGCTCACCTGCGGTGTTCTCCCTGATCTCCTCAGAGGCAGAGGATGGCTCTGTGTACTCCTCTTCTCCCTGGGAAAACCCTGCCTGGGTCTGTGAATGATTTCCAGACGTCCAGTAAACGCAGAGTGCCCTGTGGGGTGGGTGAGCTTCTGTGTGATAAATCCAGGGTTCTCCAACATCACGAAAGTAAGTTTAGCATTGCAGAGAATCTGGTTTGGTTCATGGACACTGTCGAGCCATATCCTTGAGCCTAAATCTTCCTCCTGAGTGAAACTTGGATGATCAGAGTAAGTGTTCCGGGTACCACCCGCTCCCCAAGTCTCTCTCCTAACAGGAGTAGCACGTGGTGTTGGCTTCACGTTGGGCACTTCTATGCATTACACATATTTATCTCATTTACTTGTCAAAAAAATCCTACAAGGTACGCCATTTCATTTCCATTTTACTGACAGGGAGACCGAGGCACAGAGAGATGGGGTGTGACTTGCTCAAGGTCACATGAAGTGACAGAGACAAGACTTGAATCTGGGCAGATAGGCTGCAGGTCTGGACGCTACGCCATTGTGCTAGTTGTACCCTCCCCCCAAAACCGAAGTGATGAGGAAGATTCTTCTCGAAGTCACCCTTCCCTTGTTTACCTGCAAGGCTCTGCTGTCTCTTGCACCTGTCTGCCTGTGGCTGCCCAAACCCTCATCTCTGGACTCTCCGGACTCCGGAGGCATCTCCTCTCTTCCCAAAGTCGCTTTGTTGCACTTGGTGGAGAGGCACAAAAGCTGAGCTCAGGACCAGAAGGCGGAGGTTTGGTCGGCCCCTGCCTCCCTCATGTCCCCTGATCCCTGAAGCAGAGCCACTAAGGCCCCAGTTCCTGGCTGTCCACTCTGCTGGGTGGATGATGAGGCACTGGCCTCCACTGCCTGTCATCTGGACTATGCAAGGAGCCAGTCACATAAGTTCGGGGATTTTCGGCTTAGGGTTGCCAGATTAAATGCAAGAGGTCCAGTTAAATTTGAATTTCAGATACATAATTTTTTAATATAGGTGTGTGCCAGGGAGACAGGGAGGAGAAAGAAGAAAGGGCACGACCTGCACTGGACGGAGTGTCCCCACGGAAGACACAGAGCTCTGAACCGGAAGTGACTGAGAGATACTGGGTTTGCAAGGTTGCCATTGCCCATCAGAGGACACGAAGATGTAAGAGCCAACAAGTGGGGACAGAGAACCAGAGAAAGCTGTGTCATTGCTTCCTGGAGTCTTGTGGCCATGGGAGGGACATTCAGTGTAGGTGCCAAGGAGCAGGGGACTTAGGCAGAGGAAGTGCAGCTTGAGAACGAGAGAGGCTGGGACAACTGTCTCTGTTTGACAAGGCCAGGTGTCAGTGAGAGGACTGAAGGTTTTGGGGGACTGTGGACTAGGGCCAGCTACCTACTTTGCAGGGCCCAGTGCGAAATGAAAATGTGAGGCCTCTCGTTTAGATTTACTAAGAATTTCAAGATGGCAGGAGCAGAGCATTAAATCAAGTTGAGGGCTCTGCTGAGTGCCAGGCCCTGTGTGACAACATGTGTCACATGCACGGGAACCCGAGCCTGATGCAGATGCAAATCACTGCCGTTTAGCAAGGAATGGACACAGCAAACTGGAGGGTGTTTCCTCCTCTGCTTGGGGCAAAGCCCTGGGTGAGCTTGGCCATTTGCACTTGGAGTTGAGGGTAATTCGGCCCTTGAGGCCCCCTCTTGCTGGCTTGGGGAGGAACGTGCCAGCTTGGCTTGGCGGTGGCCACTGTCCAGGGCTGTGGGAGGCTAGGGACATCTGTTCGGAGCTTCTGTGTTTCTACGTCACCCTCACTGCAGCGGGGTTTTGCGAAGCTTCAGTCCAACGAGGGAGAGGGGCAGTCTCTCTTCTCCTTGGTTGGGGGCTTGTTTCCTGGAGCCCATGGAGAAACCAAGCAGGCATCTGGCAGGGCCACGACGGGAGCCCACGACTCCGGCTTCCCGGGGCAGCAAGGCGAGGTCCTCAGGGATGAAGCGAGGAGGCTGGCCAACTTCCCTCCCACCCACTGGAAGGTGCCAGGGGGAGACCAGAGGGAAAGCCGAGGAGGGAGCATCAGGTTGCATCTTGGCCCTGGAGCCTGAAAGACGAGGCCCTTCTCCCGGCAGCATTCCTGGAAAGTTAGCTCGGATCCTGCGTGCCACACATTCCCGGCGTCCTGGCTGCCGAACCCGGTGGGGACGTGGAGGCTCCCATTACCAGCCAGCTGACGCAGCGGTGCCGCCTCGGACATGGGCAGAGGACGGGTGGGACGTGCAAGAACAGTGCAGAGGAAAACACGAGTCTCGACCTCTCTGTTCTTAGTGACTCCACCTGGGGAATTGGGGGCAGGGCACACATGGGTATCACGTGGACTAAAGCGTGTGTGTGTGTGTGTGTGTGTGTGTGTGTGTGTGTGTGTTGGGGGGGTGTCTCCAAGAGCACCTGCACCCCCCCAAAAAAAAACTGTCCTCAGAAGTGCTACTTACCATTAATTATCATTAATGTTTCTCTCCTTGGACAGAGCTCCATGTAAGCCACTTACTATTAATTATTATTATTATTATCAGTAATGTTCTCTCTCTCTGGACAAAGCTCTCTGTCTCTTGTTTCTGCTGTATTCACCATGGCACCGCTTGCACCTACAGCAGCTGGCTCACTTAACCCTTAATAAATGTTAATTTTGTAAAACATTGATTTAAAAACATCTCAGTAAAATCCACCACTGAAAACGAGAGCATGCTGTAAAAGTAAAATGAGATCGTGCTAAGCAACTACATTGCTTTTTTACAAAGATGATTAAAGTAGCAGTTCAAAAATCACCAAGAAATCCTGGCTTTTTTCTCTTTTCAACAACTGGATCATGGCTAAAAATAAACACCTCGAATTCCAATGCTTGAATACATTTTATGACCGGGATTCAGCTTTTATTTGATTTCTCTTTCTAAAAAATATGTTCCCTTTGGTTAAGATGAAGTTTGCTTTCTTTTACATAACTGAAAGTAAACAGACACCAGTGGGTTTTCCTGGCCAAGGCCCAGAACCCAGAGGTGTGGGTGGACGCTGGTTCTCGTGCCTTCCGGGCTGGAGAGGCCCCAAACCAGCCCCGGGAGACGGACATCTAAAGTGACCCGAAATCTGCAGCTTCTGCCATTTAGTGGCTTGGCCAATTTAAGGCCACATGATCTTGGGAAGTCCCTTTCTCTGCGTAGTTCTTGCTCCTTATCCATATGGTGTGATAAAATTGTAAAAGATCAATGAAAAGCTGTGGGGGCAAGTCATTAGAAAAAGAGAGAATGCCATAGAAACATGAATCATGGTGCACTTAGTGTTTATCTCGCGTGTGTGTGCTTCACCCACAGAGACTCAGGACAGGAGAGATAGGCGAGGTTTAGCATGTTTTAAACCTTCTAAGCTCCTCCCACAGGGCTGCAGCTCCCAGCACAAAAGAGGAATCTGCATTTTTCAAATGCTTTCCCATTTCATTCACGTAATTTAATTTGCAGGGCAGGTCACAGGATGTGCCTTAGGAAGGTGCAGAAACTGAGATGCAGGTTCTCACTTCGGGTTATGGGAGCGTGCCTGAGATCACACAGGTGGTTTGCAAAAACAAATCGATGCCAAGATGCTATTCATCTGCCAGCCCCATGTGCAGTGCTTTTTAACCGAGAGAGACTGTGGCCCCGAGGGGACATGTGGCAGTGTTTGGAGATCTTATGATTGGTACTGTTTGGGGGTGGATAGAGAGGGAGCTACTGGCATCTAGTGGGTAGAGACCAGAGACGCTGCTAAACATCCTACAATGCACAGGACAGCCCCCACAACACAGAATTATCCAAAATGTCAACAACATCGAGATTTAGAAACCCTGTGCTATAGCAATTGCGAAAGTAGTGGGGAGGGGAGCGTCTCTTACTCCGTGTTGTGTGTGTTTTAAAGAGAGCGATACTACATCAGAGGCTGAAGGGAGTCTCAGAAGCATGCTAGTCCCCCACTACTCAGAATGTTGTCCCTGGACCAGCATCAGCTGGAAATATGTTTAAAATGCAGGACTCTCAAGCCTCAGCCCAGACTCAGACTTTCTGAGTCAGAACCTGCATTTGAACAAGAACCCAGGTGATTCATATGCTCATTACAGTTCGAGGAGGATGGGGTTTGGTTTATTCCAGGCTGGACAGCCCCCAAACCACCCTGGGATATGGGCATTTGACTCGGCCTTACGTTTCACCAGGAGCCTGTCCCCGAATCTTCACAGCCCAAGTCAGGGCTTCAGGGGCTGACCGTCTCCCTGGAATGTGACCTAGACCCTGTTCCTTTGATTTTCACACGAGTCCTGGTGGTTGGGGGAGGAGGAGCACATCTGAGCCGGTCTATTGTAATCTTTCCCATTTCCCTCCTTGCCTTGTCCCCTCCCCAGGCCTACATCCTGTTGGGACAATTCCTTCTGATGCACAAGAACCAAGTGGAGTTTCAGAAGTGGCTCATTTGTTGTTGTGGTGCCACCGAGTGTGAGGCCCAGCAGAGTTCCAACTGTCTCAAGGAGTGGTGCGCTTGCTTCCTGTAGACACAAGCCCAAGGCCAGCCAGACGGGCCACTGGATGCAAAGCTGCTCAGCTGTGCCCACCCAGGATCAGCCAGCCCTCAGCTGACTCACAGATGTGTGAGTGAGAATAAAGGATTGCTATTTAAAGCCACCGACGTTTGGGACAGTTTGCCACGTAGCAGTATCTAACTGATACATTCTTTGTAGTCGAAAATGTCCTCACCCTGCCAAGGTGTGCTGCATCAACGTGCAACCTGACTTTAGATGCAAAAGCTGCCCAGGGTGGGTGGAGGAACATTGCTTCCAGGGCCAGCCAGGTGCAGGTGAGTGCCAGCCCTGCCAATCACCATCGCATCCCGGGTGAGCTGCTTTAACCTCACCAAGCCTTGGTTTCATCATCTGTAAATGGGGCAAGATGGTAATAACCCTGCCTTGCAGGATGGATCAATGAAAGCAGTAAAGGACGTGGTGTAGGCAGAACATGATAAAGGGCCACTGCTGTCTCCTCTCCTGGAGTTCTCTTTCCAGTGCCAGCCTCCTGGGCACTTGGGAGAGAACTCACAGCTGTGAATTGGAAGGGAACTTAGATACCAGCATGTCCAATCTAGTCCAATTCTGCCCCAGCATATAAGTACTGGACACTGTATAACTGTTAGTATATATTCTTTAATGGCTAGGTAAGAAAGGACAGCAGATGCAAATCAAATTATTTCAGATTCTGGCTATGATCTTATAGGGTCACATTAGCCCATGGGTCCCCAAAGGTGTTTTAACGGACACACAAGAAGACTGGGCTGGCGCGTATTATATATCCTCAGCCCTGTCTTCTACTTGGCAGGGAGGTTGTTTTGATCATTTGGGACAGGGTTGGTGCCTGAGAACCCTTATCTCTTGTCATGGATTTTACCAGCATCTTAAACAAGAGCCGAAATGTCTGTAAGGAAGAGGGCTTGGCCCCCCTCCTGCTGGCCTGACAACTGTTTGGGGGTGTCCGTGAATCAGTGACTGGTTTTGATTAGGATTTGCGGAGTGTCTAGGCTGTAAGCCTGGTCAGGTGCTGTGGGAGGGGCAGGAGAAATATGTACGAGCGTCTCCAGCTCACTGGGGGCTCACGCCTTAAGGGGTGATCAGGAGAAGGCCACCCACACAGCAAAGGTGCCGACAGGTCTGTCTGTCTTGGGGCTCTCCTGGAAGCAGACCTGGAGAACAGGAGTCTGAGTGAAAATGGCTTATTCGGGAGGTGCTCCCAGGAAATGCAGCTAGGAGAGTGGGGCTTGTGGCAGGGAGGGAAGACAGACAATTAAGGTGTGCTGTCACCTCTCATCACTGCGGCAACCGGCACTCAGTCCTGCCGGGCCATTCTGGGAGCCAGGGTAGAGCAAGCATTTATCTATTTATTTATTTTATTATTTTTTTTTCATTTCAGCATATTACGGGGCCACAAATGTTTAGGTTACATATATTGCCTTTGCCCCACCTGAGTCAGAGCTTCCAGCGTGTAGTCTAGAACAAGCATTTAAAGTTACACCACACTGGGCTAGCTAAATGCCACTCCTATCAGTTGTTTGTGGAGGGCTGCTCCCACGGGAAGTTAATTCCTCAGCTCCCAGCCTGGGGAAAAGGAACCTCAGTGGGAAAGTGCTCGGGCTAAGAAATGCAGGCCCTGGCAGCTGGAAGTGGGCTGTGGGCCGGCCCCTTCCCTGATGGGGCCAGGGCAGGCAGAGGAGGCGACACTCCCAGCTCCTGCCACAGGTGGGTGTTGGAGTGGGACAGGCCCGGCTTTGAAGACAGAATCCGCCCCTTGCCACCAGTTGTAAGGCCTTTGGAGAGCCACCCTTGCAGCCCAGCTGCCCAGCTATAGAATGGTGACAATACTATCTACCCAAGGGTTAGGAAGATTAAAATCCTTGCACCTGGTAACAGCTTCGTGTGTGGTAGCTGTAAAAACCTGCCTAGTAGCATGTGCAGCACGACTATTCCCAATAGCCAATGTGGACTCGGCCTCAGTGCCCACCAGTGGACAAAAGGATAAAGACAATGTGCTGTAGATACATCCTGGAATAGTATTCAGCCATAAAACGTGTGGAATCCTGTCATTGGTAGCAACATGGATGGAACTGGAGGTTATTATGTTAAGGGAAATAAGCCAGGCACAGAAAGATAAATACTACCTGTTCTCACTCACATGTGAAAGCTAAAAAGTGCATCTCATGGAAGTAGAGGGTGGAATGGTGGCTACCAGAATCACAGAAGGGAAGCGGGGAGGGAGGGAGGACAAGAGGTTGATTAATGGGAAAACAACAACAAAAACCAAAAGGAATAAGACCTAGTGTTCAATAAATGAGTAGAGTGATTATAGTAAAAATAATCTATTAGACAGTTCAAAATAGCTAGTAGAAAATAATTTGAATATCTTCAGCATAAAGAAAAGACAAACGTTTAAGGTGATAGATATTCCAACTATCCTGATTTGATTATTACACGTTATATGAATGTATTTAAATATCACATGTACTCCCCAAATATGTATATACATTATGTATATATCAATAAAAAACATCTTTAAAAATGTGCAATGCTGAGTGTGTATTGTTATTCAAAGAAGGGAGAGGTTGGTGTGAACCAGAGTGGCGGGGCAGGCTCCTAGTTGGAGGTGACACTTGAGATTGCTATTAGAAGTGGAGGCCCGGCTTGAAAGGGCTGAGGACAGAGACAGGGAGGGGAGATGTGGAGGGGAGGGGGCATGTGGGGGAGGGGGAGACTAACCCCACCGGCCTAGGGAGAGTGAGTTGGGGGACTCTGTAGGGACAGGTAAGGGGTAGGGCTGGATTCTGTGGAGCCAAGGGGCTTCCTTCTGTCACCCCCAGACAGAAACTGAGTGTGAGCTGGTAGCTGGCCCAGTTTGAGAAGCCAGTCACGGCAGGGTGGCTATCCCAAGGAGAGGTTAGTGCCCTGCAACTGTCAGTGGGGACAGTTCTGATCACCTGTGCTGATAACTCAGAGGTGGCAGCTCTGCTCCCTGTGCCTGAAAAAGATCCTGTAGTAACCGAACCTAAAAATACCCACAGTCCTTCAGCTCCTCCAGCCAAGAAGTGGAATCTAACACATTCCCTGTTATGGAACCTGAACTAACCTTGCAACTTGCTTTGGCCAAAAGAATATGGCAGGGGTGACGCCGTGACAGTTGCAAGCCTAGGCTTCTGTGACACCATGCGAACAAGCCTGGGCCAACCGCCAGAGGAAGAGAGACACATGGCCCAGTTGTATTCACTGCCTCAGCCAGCAGTTACCCAACCTCCAGATATGTGAGCCAGGCTGTTCTGGACCAGCCAACTCATCAGCTGACCTCAGATCCATGGGAGACTCCAGCTGAGGTCAGCCATGCCTTGCCCTGACCAGAAAAACCACCAATTAACCAATGCACTCATAGATAAATCAATGTTTTAAGACACTACATTTTGGGGGCTTGGTTGTTACCCAGCTACAGCTAACTGGTACAGTTCCCACCTGAGGTCTCAGAGTATGGAGGATCTCCGGGTGTAAAATGGAAACCTCCTACTCTATTTTTTAGAGAGTGCCCTGAGTGCCATCTAGATATGTGGTGACAATGAGAGGGATCACCACAGCTCCTATGCAAAAACCAAGCAGGTGTCGTGGAGCTGGAGTTTGGAGAACAATGGAAGCTAAGCTCTGAACAGAGTCGTTTTCAAAAAACTCCGAGGGAAGGGGGTAAGACAGGACAGTGACCGAGCTTCAGAGGGTGGGGCAGTAGTCTTCAATGACATGAGCAGCTATGGGCGGCTTGGGGTGATTTATTCCTAGAAACCTCTGAAAGAAAGCTGAGTCATGGAGATAAACCTTTTAGCAAGTGTGTCTGGAAATATATATAATTTTTTTTTTTAATTTCAGAACACTAGTGGGGTACAAACATTTTGGTTACATAATTTGCTTTTATAGAGTTTGAGTCAAAGTTATATGTGCCCTTCCTCTACCCAGACAGTGTGCATTGTACCTGTTAGGTGTGAACCAAAGGAAAAAAGACATTTTATAAAAAAAGTCACGTGCATTCAAATGTTTACAGAAATATATATAATTTTTAAATGTTTGCTGCTCTAAATGATTACAAGCAGAGATGTGAACAGTTTATTCGGCACAGACTATATACCAGGCACTTTTCTAACATTTCCAGAGGTTAGGTAACATTCCAAAGAGGTTAGGTAACATGGCCATGAAAATTCAGCGTGTCATCTCACTCCAGGTCTGCCTGACGTTAAACTGTGCCCACTGCCTGCAGAGGCCCCCTGGGAGTTGGGAGCCTATTTGGAGATTTGGGGATGCTCTCAGGGACTGAAGACGACCATTGACCAAAGACAGACAGGCACGTGAAGGGATGAGGAAGTCATGGAAAGGGGACCACGACACATTAAGGGGAATGCAGGTTACTGAAAAAGATTCACTCAGCAAATGCCAGGCACAGTGCTAGGTGCCACAGACAACAGATCAGACAAAACCATCTTCCCCCTGGAGCTGACATTCTAATGGGAGGAAGCAGAAAACAAAGGTTAAGAAGTAAAATATATATCAGTAGGAATCATATGAGATTGCCATTTGTCTAGGTTGCAAGCTGGCTGAATATAGGCAATTTGATGTTGTTCAACCCAACAGGATGTTAGTTTCGTGATGAGTGCTACGTGCACACTAAAGCAAGGGAAGGAAGGTGAGAGGGCTGGGGAGAGGTAGGACTTTAGGTAGGGTGGGCAGGGGAAGGCCTCATGGCAAAGGTTAAGTCCCAAAAGAGGCGAGGCTGAGAGCCACAGGGTAGCTGGTAGAAGACCATTCCAGGCAGAGGGAACAGCCAGAGCAAAGGCCCTGGGGTGGGATGGCTCCAAAGAGTGGAGTGAGCGAGTCAAAGAGAAAGTGGGCAGGGTCAGAGTGCACAGGGCCTTCTAGATCACGGACAGGACTTTGGCTTTTACTCGGATTGAGGCAGACATCCTCCGGAGGGCTGCACGACCTGACCTGTGTTTATGAAGGACCACTCTATGGTATTTAGAACACTCTGGAGGAGCAAGGGAGAGAACAGAGACCAATTGGGGGGCTGTGGCACTAACTAGGGAGAGATGATGTTGGGTTGGGCCAGATGGGAGTGATGGCTTTTGAGAAGTGACCACATTCTGGATCTATTTTGAAGGTACAGCCCCAGGGTAAGTGGGGAGAAAAGGGTAGGGCTGAGCCCTGGGCACGCCAATGTCTAGAAGGCAGAGAGATGGGGGGAGCCAGTGGGCAGGAAGCACCCCACAGGGCATGGGCTCCTGAACCCCTTGGGAAGAAGGTGTTTCCAGGAGGAGGGAGGGAGCACCTGTGTCCACCACTGCTGATGGGTCAGGTGAGGTGTGCACAGAGGATGGGCGATGGATGGTACTTTGCATGCTCTGCAGAAGATTCCAGAGAGAGGGAAGCGCTGGTGATGCAGGAGAGGCAGGGAAGGGCTGCTGGCATCGTGTCCTTGAGCAGGCAACAGGGATGGCCCCAGGGCACAGGGAGAAGGACTGGCCTTGGTGGGGAGGACACCCATAGTGGACCACAGGAGGGAGGGCAGAGCAGGTGGCCCTGATGCAGGGAAGAGGGTTGTTGTGGCAGAGGGAGATGATGGAATTTCTCTTCTGATGGCTTCTGTCTTCTCAGTGCACTAGGAAGTCAGATGGCAGGCTGTGAACCAGCATGAGGAGTGAAGACAGTGTGAGCTAGTTGTCTAGGACAGTGGAGCATAGATGGATTTTATAGCGAGGAAGATCTGTTAGTGTAAACAACATAGATAGATTAGACAGGTGATAGGTAGATAAGTAGATAGATAAATGACAGAGTAGACAGATGTTAGATCAATGATAGGTAGGTAGATAGATATCTAGGTAGATGGGTAAATGATAGATGATAGATAAATAATAGATTAGATGACAAATAAATGATAGATGGATACATAGATGCTAGATGGATAGATGATAGGTAGATACCCATAGGATAGATTCTGTTATCCTATGATATATACATAGAAAAAAATGTGGGAAGAGACACTGCACTGTCCACAATGGTTACCCTTGGGGGGAGGGATTAAAAGGCCCTTTCACTCTGCACTTCATACAGTCATCCATCATTTGACTTTTAGCAGTGAGTATTACTATTGTAAATCAGGAAAAGCAATAGGAGACATTTCCAGCTTGGAGCACAAAGAATAGAGCTGTAGAGACCGTGTTCTGTGGGCCCACACTGGTCCTTCCCCTTGGGGCCTTACAGAGACAGGCCAGCAGCTCTGTCTGTCCGAGCAGAGGAAAGTTCCTCCTAAAATTCTCAGCCTTGAAGACTTCTAGATTATTTTTCTCACCACCACCACCACCACCCCCGCCATTTTGGTTCTTCCCTTACTGTCCCAAGGCCCAGGTCTCCTTGGAGAAATGGAGGAGGCATTCTCCATAGATCCGCTTTTCTCTTGCTCATTCCTACCAGATTCTTCACAGCTGTGCCTGGTGTCCCCTCCATGGCCAAGACTCTGGCTTATGTTGAGGATAATCCTTATTGCATAAACTATTTTATTGCATTGCCTGGTCCAGTGGCTGAATCTTTTTGACCAGATTGGGGGGCCACTGTGGCCAGGGCACTGGGGAGAGAGAGGACCTGGATGATGCCACTAAGTGGGTCTGGGAACCTGGGCACTTGATTTGTCTGAGTCGCTGCTTCCCCAACTGTGAAATGAGAAATATCTGATTTTCCCAATCTCCTAGCTCTGTTTTAAAGAAGGCTCAAAAATAGACATGGAGGCATTTTAAACAGAAAAGGAGGTGATGTAATGTGTAGTCACTGCTTTGCTTTACTCGGGACAGCAGCTGCAGATGGCCAGCCCGGTGGCAGCCCCTTGGACCCCCTGTTTGTGTGCCTTAGTCAGTGTAGACTGTGCTGTGGGACAGAAACGACCACCCCCCACCCAAGAACTCAGCGGCTTAAGACAACGAAGTTTCTGTCTCATTCCCATTACGCGCCTGTCTCAGGTGTGCGGGGACGGCTGCGTGTCATCCTCCCTCCAGGACCTGGGCTGACAGAGCGGCCCCATCTTGGGCGTACACAGGACCTTCAGCAGAAAGGGAGCTCTGAGGATCTCACACTGGCCATTAAATGCTCTGGCTCAGAAGGGACGTGCCACTTTGGCTAACAAATCATTGCCCAGGACCAGTCACACAATTCCACCCAGTCCCAACTGGACCAGGTAGGTACTGTCTGCCAGGAGAGGGAGGAATGGAAAATTGGGGTGAGCACCCGCAGATCACTGCTGCATGACTCTATAGTGGAAGGCCCCCAGAAGGCACTGTTCCACTCAATGATGGCCTGTTTTCTTTGTGTTTTTTTTTTTGTTGTTGTTGTTCTTTTTTAAGACAGAGTCTCACTCTGTTGCTGTGGCTAGCTAGAGTTCTGCGGTGTCAGCCTGGCTCACAGCAACCTCAAACTCCAGGGCTCAAGCAATCCTCCTGCCTCAGCCTCCCGAGTAGCTGGGACTGCAGGCATGGCCACCATGTCCGGCTAATTTTTTATATATTTTTTTAGTTGGCCAATTAATTTCTTTCTATTTTTAGTAGAGACGGGTCTCACTCTTGCTCAGGCTGGTCTCAAACTCCTGAGCTCGAGCAATCTTCCCACCTCCGCCTCCCAGAGTCCTAGGATTACAAGTGTGAGCCACCACGCCCGGCCTGTTTTCTTTGTCTTTTCACAGATCTACCACAAGGACTGAGGTTCTTCCCCAATGTGTGTGGGTCCAATGAAAAAATCTGTGGATTTTCATTGTGGAAACTTTGTGATATAGAGCAATATGTAGAAGAAAATGAGTAACTCCAACAAAAAAAAAGAAAACTCTACCATCCAATATTTTATTGGATTTCTTTCCAGTCTTTTAAAAATTGCATATAGGTGCATTTTAAATAAAATCTTTATTGAGATAAAATTCATATACCATAAAATTCACCCTGTAGACATGTACAACCTGGTGGGTTTTAGTATATTCACAGAGTTGTATAACCCTCACCACTTTTGGTTTCAGAAGATTTTCATCACCCCAAAAAGAAACTCCATTAACTGTCACTTCTCATCTCCAGTCCAGCCCTGTCTCTATGGATTTGCCTGTTGCGGACATTTCCTGTGAGTGGAATCATATGATATACGGTCTTTTGGGACTGGCTTCTTTCACTTCATCATATTTTTCAGGCACATGGATTTTGTAGCATGTATGCATGTGCATGTTAAAAAGCAAATCGAGACCATGTGGAATATGAGTTACCCTGATTCCTTCATTTATATTTTAAACATTTTCCCTCATCATTAAATCTTCTATGAAAAATAGTTGTAACAGTTATTTATAACAGCCCATCACATTTGTGTGCAGTAATGTGTTGAATTGTGCCCTCTATTTTTGACTTTTAGGTTTCCAGTTTTTTCACTGTTACAAAGTTTTTATGAGCAGCTATTCATTTTTTTTTTGAATGAATGAATGAAACCTTAAATATAAATCTTTGCAGCATTTCCCACTCTTCCTTTAAGGATGATGCCTAGAAAAATGGACTAAAGTGGCAAAGAAAAAACAAAACCAAAAAACAGGAACTTTTGTACGGCTTTTGATGCTTACTGCAGGTGGTTTTCTAGAAAGAAAACCTGTTGGCTGCAAAGTAAAACCAAATCCCTTATGATGGCCCAGGAGGCCCTGCACAATCTGAGCCCATTCCTTCTCTCATTGCCTCTTCTCTCTGCTCCAGCTATACTGGCCGCCTTGTTGGTCCTTAAATGCACTGGATCTGCCCAGGCTGCAGGCCAACTGGCCTCTGCACAGGCTGTTCCCTGTGCCTGGAACACGCTTCCCCAGGCTCCGCCCGCTCACTCACCTCCTCCAAGGCTCTGCTGACACGTTCTCAGCGAGACCCTCCTGTGAAACACATCACTCCCAGCATTCCTATCTCCTCTCCCAGCTTTATCTTTTTGTTCTCCATAGCACTTATCACCTTCTAATATAATGCATGCTTTACTTATTTATTATCTCAACCCACTGAAATTAATCATGAGAGCCTGGCCAGGTGCCTAGCAGGGGTAGGTACACAATACGTTAAGTGTTGAGTCAAGTTGACGGCCAGCACTGAGACCGGCTATGTTAGAACCGGGGCCTCCACCTCCCACCCACTCTGATCTTCTCTCCCCTAGACAGCAGTGGGAGGCTCTGGTCCTCTAACGAGTCCTCAGCAGCTGTTCTTTCTTGACTCGGCTCCGGAGCAAATCGGAAAGGCAGCTGCCTTGAGAGTTGTTTGTTCTGCTCTGTAGCAAAACCTGGAAGAGGTTGACCCAGGCAGATAAGCCCACCTGTGACTGGGGAGGGCAAAGGTTTGTTTCTGGAAGGATTGCAGACCTCTCCAGGGCCCACCTGGCTTCTGCCCCCGGACTGCCTGTGCTACGACCGCGCCAGGACCTGCCAAGCAGCAGGCTCCCCCAGCCCACGCGAGACCAGAGACCACCGTCCTCCTGAGACCGGCGGTTTCCTGCGCAGGCCCCGCTGCAGCATGGGCAAGGGGAGGGGAAGAACTCACGGGGAAGCAGAGAAAGCCCTTTTCTCGCCCTTTTCTGGCCAAGTCTGGCAAAGCAGCAGGGAGTCCCTCAGGAACCTCCCCAGTGTGTGACGTTTCTGGCCAAGCTCCTTGGGTTTCCGGCGCAAGCATGGGATCAAAATTCCCAAACCCAGTATAGTAATGTTTTTAAAGTGTGCATGAGTTACAAACAATGTCCCATAATTAATGGTCTCGGGGTTGGGCCCTCAGCCAAGGAAGCAAATTCGTAGACGGTCCAAATGGTAGAGCTGCTCCAAGTTACCTCCACAAGCAAGCAGGCCCACCTTTAGAGCCAAAGGGCTTCCCTCCTGAGTCGCGGCATAAGTATATTGGCCCACCCAGGCCCCCCGGGGGACCCAGACACTGTCTGGGGCCACCCACTCCTAGCTTGGAACATTCTGGAATTCCTCCTTTGGAATGGCCACGAGAGCCCAGGATTGTTCTCTTTCATATTCTCAACATGGTGAATCTCTGGCTTCTGAAGATCCATTTGAGTTATGTATGGAATATGGTCTTTCTAAAAACTTTTTGTTGACGTGTAACATACACACAGAAAGGTGCACAAATGAGCAGTGAACAGCTTGATGGATTTTCACAGATGAACACAACACGGTAACGACCACCCAGGTGAAAAAGAGAACATCACCAGCAGCACAGGGGCCCCTCCAGCCCCTCTCAGATGGGTCCACCTTCCCACACTGCCAGCTCCCCTGACATCCAGCAGTGGAGACTGTTTAGACTGCTTTGAACTTTACACAAAGGGGAGCGTATGATACATGCATACTAATGCATTTGGCTCCTTCCAACGTTATATCGGTGAGATTCAACCATGACACGCAGTGATAATTCATCCTTTTTCATGTCTGTATAGTATTCTACTGTACGAATAGGTGAATTTATTTATTGGCTATTCTTGTCATGTGTTTTGATGAACTATGCACTTGTTCTTGGCATACCTCGAAGTGGAATTGCTGGGTCATAGGGTGTAGGTGGACATAGATTTAGCTTCACTAGACTCTGCCAACAAATTTCCAATGTGGTTGGACCAATTCACACTCCCACCAGTCAGTGGGATATGAGAATGCGGGTGCACAATATCCTCACCGACACTTGGTGGGTCAGGCTTTAGGTTATATCCATTCTGGAGGAAGAATAGCATCCCATTTTTTAGTTTTAACTTGCACTGAGGAATAGGGTCTTCATTTTAAAATCTTGGCCCATAGCTGTAAAGGAACGTAAAGGAGACTTGTGTCGGGATTGTAACGGGGACCCTAGGGGAGCTCCCAGGACCTGGGATCAGCGCGGCCTGGCGGCAGTAAGTGTACAGGGTTCCACTCCCCAGGGAGCAGGAGATCTGAACTCACAATAATACATCAGTCTCGGTACCATCCAGGCTTGCTCCAATAATCCCAATCATCTGGAGACTCCCAGAGAAGTACAAGAAGGACAATTCTGAGGTCTGAGACTCCGTAGGTGTTTGCTGAGTGAATTCTCACATGCTTCCAGATGCAGTAGGGTCTGACCCTCTGGGTCTCTTCCTTCTCATTGGCTCTGACTTGTGGCTGTATCCCACCCCCGCTGGTAGGCCGCCTTGTGGGCGCACTGATCTTCCTGCTGTGGCTAGAGCAGTACCAGGGAGGTGAGCTGTCCCCACCCACATCTCTGTGCAGCAAGACTGCAGAAGTTGAGGGGAGCTGCTCCACTTCTGCAGAGTGTGTCTGGGTCTGTCACAGAGCTGGAGCTGCCCTCATTTTGCAATGGGGAAAGTGAGGCACACAGGCCTATTTTTTTTTTTTTTTTTTGAGACAGTCTTGCTCTGTTGCCTGGGCTAGAGTGCCGTGGCATCAGCCTAGCTCACAGCAACCTCAAACTCCTGGGCTCAAGAAATTCTCCTGCCTCAGCCTCCTGAGTAACTGGGACTACAGGAATGTGCCACCACGCCTGGCTAATTTTTTCTATTTTTAGTAGAGATGCGGTCCTACTCTTGCTGAGGCTGATTTTGAACTCCTGACCTCAAGCAATCCTTCCGCTTCAGCCTCCCAGAGTGCTAGGATTACAGACGTGAGCCACCGCGCCCGGCCCTTTGTGTTTGAATATGTGCCAGCCACAATACTAGGTACTAAAGTTAAAGAGATAAAATTCACAATCTTTTTTTTTTTTTTTTGAGACAGAGTTTCATTTTGTTGCCCAGGCTAGAGTGAGTGCCGTGGCATCAGCCTAGCTCACAGCAACCTCAAACTCCTGGGCTCTAGCAATCCTGCTGCCTCAGCCTCCCAAGTAGCTGGGACTACAGGCATGCGCCACCATGCCTGGCTAATTTTTTCTATATATATTAGTTGGCCAATTAATTTCTTTCTATTTATAGTAGAGATGGGGTCTCGCTCTTGCTCAGGCTGGTTTTGAACTCCTGACCTTGAGCAATCCGCCCGCCTTGGCCTCCCAGAGTGCTAGGATTACAGGCGTGAGC